TTGTGGAGAGGATATCTACATCCCACTCCCAGCGGATTCTCGGTCCCGGGAGGCAGCTAACTTGGCCCCCAGTTCTCCTAGAGTCTCCCAAGGACGCGACTTATATAGTGTCGTAAGGTGCATCGAGGGTGGCGAGAAGTGCCCGGTACCGGGTACTTTTCCCTCAGCACTTTCCCTGAGTACTTTTCCATGGTGCTTCCCTTAGATATTTGCCTGAGTATGTTTACTCGTGATTTGTGTTCATACTAAGTAAGTTTTTCCCCTATCCCTTCGTCTTGCTAAATACTTATTACACACCCCTCCTTCTTACTATGTATTTAGAAATCAAAGAAATGTTCTTTTCTTTAACTTACATTCCGCCTTTCTATATTTCTTTCACCTCAAGATAAAATTTTCTCTTGTTTGATTAATTTTTTCGATTGATTTACCATTGGAATCTGAAACCCATTAAACCTCAGCACTAATTCTATATTTTCAGCCATCCTACAAAAATAACCACACCTTTTAGCGAATTTCCCAATAGGGAAGTAGCTATTACCGTAGGTCTCATGGTAAGACTTAGGCCCGGGACCGATTTACTTTTTCATTTTGATGTCCCCAGAGGCCAAAAATACCATTCGTTCAAATTTTTATATATGTATATATATATATGTGTGTGTCCGTGAACTCAATAACTTGAGTAATTTTTATCCGATTTTGATTAAATTTGGTTTGAAGGTGTAAGGCGGGATAAACTTGAATGAGTTTAAAGAGCTTAAAAAAACAAACAATTCAGTATATCAAAGTGTTTTTGTACGGTTATTGGTTACGGAGAAAATTAAAATAATGGTAAATTTAAAATTCCCATGTTTTTCTTACTGAGAATATTGTAAAATGTTGTAGTTTGCTAAGCATTAATTATTATACTTAAAACACACACTTAATTAGTTTCCTTGTAGCAGCAAACCTAGGTACTTGTTAAACCTAATGTTATTTAAATAGATCTATTGAAAATCAATTCAGCCAAATGGAAATTCGCTTAGACGACAGGCTTGCTGCGGCGGGGGTATTTGTAATACAAATATATCCATAATTATATTTTAAAGTACAAAATAACAAATAGGAACATTTTAATAAAATTTGAGTCTTCTAGTTAAACATTTAAATTTTTGTTAATATAAAACAATGAATCTTCTTCTTGGAACAAAAAACTTAAACACAGCCTATTAACATTTAATAAATAAAATATTTTCTTTACTCAGTTCTCTAATACTTAAAATATTTCACACTTTCAGTTCTGTCTCTCTTACATTTCTCCGTTCCCTGTCCTTATTCCATTTACGACTCTCCTTCTTTTGGAACTTTTTCTTTTTGAATTTCACCTGTAGCGTCTCTATTGCACCCCACAAACCCTCGTCGTCTACCACAATTGCTTTCACTTCTCTCCTGAGCATCAAAGGGTCAGGGTTCGTCACTTGCACACAATTCCTAGTCTCTTCTGGTCTTGTGCCCTTAGGCTGAGGATCTGTGGGAACCCGATCTTCAACCTTTACTTCCTTGTTGTCCGGGACTTCGGGGACCGAATTGGTGAGGGAGGGGGGGAGACTAAGTAGAGTGTATTTGTGTCAATTGGGAGGACTTCCCAGTCTGTCTTAAATTCAGCGGGGACTTCCCCAGTTACATGCACCTCGTTGAAATCTTGTGCTTCGACTGGAGCAACTATGCCTTCTGATTTTTCTGTCGTTGCTTCTTCTTCCTCAGCCCCAGGGGTAGGCGGTCCTTTCAGATCCTCGTGTTCTTGTCAGATCCTACTTGAGTGCGATTCCACGCTGTAGGATGAGCTACTCGAGGAACTTGACGATGAGCTGCTCGTGGTTGAAGCGTAACCATTTCTCTTAGCCTTTTTTACTTGGAAAAAGGTCTTGCCTCTTCGGAGGTCTGTATTCAACTAACGTTTTGGGTATTGCGTTGCATCTCCTGATTGTATTCTCTTCCCTTGGTCCTGGGTTTTGGCTATTGAATTGCTTGTCCTCTCTAAAACAACATCGGGGAAGGCCTGCGTGATATATTCTGTCTCTCCTTTTTCACCGGTGGTGGCTTTACTCCGGGTATTTCGGCAGGAGGTTTTTGGTGCGAAAGTATAACTTTTTCTTTTTGAGTTCCTTCACCATCGTCATTCTTAGCCATGGAACATCCCTTTGTGTAAAGGTTGCAGATCTGTCGGCCACGTAAACAGAGAAAGACTCCACAGTCCATTTTGTTTCACTGTTTTGTTGGTCCTAATTTTCCTTTCATTACCCATTTCCTTGACGTAGGATTTTTTTTCATGCAATGCCTCTGCTCGTAGGTACTCAATCACTTTATCGCCTATGGTGCTGTGGTCTCCATTTAGACTGTCGTGGATTAGAATTTCTTTCGTTCTGAAGATCACGACAACCAGTACCCCAGTGTAACTCTATATTGGCGACGATGAGTAAACGAACCAAAAGAAGAAATAGTTATTTCAATGAAGAAGATGAGTATGAAACTAAAGAAGACGCATTGCAATCAAAGATAGAGAAGTTCAAATGTCAAAGCTATGATGAGTCTAGTAGGTGGGATGATTATGAAGCACATTTTCTATTGTTATGCAAGGTAAAAGGATTGGGAGAAGATTCTCAGAGAGCAGAGGATGCTCGAAGGGATCTTTTGCTTGCCTATGTGGGTCCTGCACCATTAAGAAAAGTTTCAAACTTTATGCTGCCTTTAAAAGTACATCAGGCTACGTGGGCAGAACTAGTTAATGGTTTCAGGTCAGTATACAAAGCTAGTAAAACTATATTTTCAGCTAGAATGGAATTTGAAAAAAGTATCAGAGAAAATAGTGAAAGTCTTTCAGAATTTGTAATACGTTTGAAAAATTTAGCAGATTTTTGTAAGTATGAGAACAAGTTTGATGAAAGAATAAGAGACAGATTTGCTGGAGGTATAAATTTTCCAGAGTTTGAAGTAGAAATTAGACAACGATGGCCTGATGGGTTAAAAGAAAATGGTGACAAGTTAACATCTGAAGATGTTTTTGAATGGCCACTTCAATGGAAAGAGCTCGTCACGAGATATCCAAGAATAATGATAAAGAGTTGGAAGTATCACAAGTAAGAAGAAACAATAAGGAGTTTAAAAGAGAAGTGAAATACAATGAAAAGACAAATCATCCATGTAGTAGATGTGGAACAAAGCATGAATTTGGTAAATGTCCAGCCTATCAACAAAAGTTTTTGAATTGTAAAAAAATAGGACATTTTGCAAAGGTATGTCGGCAAAAACGAGTGAATAATTTGCATGAAAAGTCATAAGATGAAGAATCTGATTCGGACTCACATGACATGAGGATAAACGATGTTGAAAAGGAAAGAAGACATATTTGTAAAGCACGTATTCATTTAAAGTTAAATAAGGTAGCTACAAACATGGAATTTGACTCTGGAGCTTGGGCCTCAATGATAGGTAAGCCTCTTTGGGAGAAAATTGGTTCACCAAGACTTGATAAGACTAATTCAAAATATGTGGCATATGGAAACAATATTTTAGATATACTTGGTGAATGTTATGTCAATGTTACAGTAGGTGATGAGAAACGTAGATTAAAAGTAGCAGTAGTAAATGGAAATGAGAAACCGCTATTTGGTTTACCATGGATATTAGCCTTTAATATGAACCTCCCTCCTGATGTTACTATTAGTAAAGTAAAATGTAAGCAGAATCATAATCAATATAAGATGGATGATGTGAGGGTTAAGGAAGTACTAAAAGAATTTGAAGATGTGTTCTCTGAAGGGCATGGGAAAATCAAGGGTTATAAAGCACGAATTCACGTTCGAGAAGATGCAAACCCTCGACATTTTTCAGCACGCAGGGTTCCGTTTCCCTTGAAAAAACGAATTGAGAATGAACTTACAAGACTTGTAAATGAGGATATCATTGAAGAGGTAGATCCTGCTGCTACACCTATTCCCTGGGCTACCCCAACAGTTAATGTAGAGAAGAATGATGGTTCAATAAGAATTTGTGGAGATTTCCGAGTCACTTTGAATCAAAATTTGGTCCTAGAAAATGCAATTATTCCGACATTTGAGGAACTAACAAACAAAGTTGCAGGCGGACAAGAGTTTTCCAAGATAGACCTACGAGATGCATACCTACAAATGGAGGTTGCAGAAGAACACCAAAAGTATTTAGTAATAGCAACGCATAGTGGTTACTATAAATACAAACGTTTACCTTTTGGGATATCATCTAGTCCAGGTATTTTCCAAAGATATATGGAAAGACTCTTAGCTGGGATACCACAGGTTGGAGTTCTTCTGGACGATATTATAATAACTGGAAGGAATAAGAACGGGCATTTACGAAATTTGAGAGAAGTTTTGAAACGAATGAAAGAAGCTGGTATAAAAGCAAAGTCTAGTAAATGCAAATTTTTTGAAGAGTCGGTGACTTACTTGGGACATACAATCGACCGGAATGGAATACATCCTACTGAAGAAAAAATAAAAGCCATTCGAGAAGCACGGTCACCTACTAATGTCAAGGAACTCCGATAATTTTTAGGTTCTATTAACTACTATGAACGATTTATTCCGGGACTTCATGCCATTTGCAGTGATCTCCATAAGCTGACTTGGACTAAATCGCAATGGAAATGGTCCGAACAAGAAGAGGGGACATTTAAAAGAGTAAAAGAAATTCTATCAAGTAAAGACACAGTAGTGCCATACGAAGAAATGAGACCATTGGTAATGGTCTGTGATGCATCAGAAAATGGATTGGGAAGTGTACTAATGCACAGATATGAAGATGGATTAGAAAGACCAATTGCTTTTGCCAGTCGTACACTATTGCCCGCTGAAAAACAATATTCAAATATCGACAGAGAAGCGCTAGCTATTATGTTTGGACTCAGGAAATTTCATCAATATGTATATGGTCGGAAGTTTACTTTAGTAACCGACCACAAACCTCTACAACGGATATTTGGAAATATGCGAGATCTTCCAAAAGTTGTAAATAGCCGTTTAGTGAGGTGGGCTCTCCAGTTGAATCAATACAACTATGACATAGAGTACAGAAAAGGAGAAGATAATGTGTGTGCTGATGTTCTATCAAGACTTCCGATTGAAGAAGATCAACCTGAGGAGGCTCACATTGGCTTTTTGAATGTTGATAAGGTTAACTCTATCATGTCTTATGACCTCTTGAAACAAAATTCATTTACAGATAAAGCAATTAAAATGGCAAAAAACTTTGTATTGAGAAATACATGGCCCCCTGTTGTTCCTGAAATGTTGAAGTCATACAAACAGAGGAAAGATGAATTGAGTGTTGAAGATGACATATTATTGTGGTTTGGAAGAATTGTAGTTCCAGAATGCATGAGAACTGATGTTCTGAAGATATTGCACACAGGACATCCTGGTATTGTATCAATGAGGTCTGTAGCACGACACTATGTATGGTGGCCCAACATGGATAAAGATATCGAAGTTTATATCAAGAGGTGCACATCTTGTCAAGAGAATCGAGATAATGTGGAAGAAGTACCATTATATCCTTGGAATGTACCTGATAGAGTTTGGGAAAGGGTACACATTGATCTGGCAGGGCCAGTCAACGGATCTATGTGGTTGGTAGGTATTGATGCTTTGTCAAAGTGGGCAGAAGTGGACTGTCTCAAGACAACAAACTCTTCAACAATCATTCAACGATTGAGATCTTGGTTTAGTCGATATGGAATACCAAGTGAAATTGTGACAGACAATGGACCTCAATTTGTATCAAAGGAAATGAAAACATTTTTTGAGAAAAATTCTATCAACCACATAAAAACAACTCCCTACCATCCTAAAAGTAATGGACTTGTGGAAAGACTAATTCGTACTTTGAAAAGACGGTTCTACACAACAAAGCAGGATGTTGGAGATGGAATGCTAGCTCTTCAAAATGTTCTTTTTAGCTACAGAAACTCGCCTCAGAAAACAACTGGTAGGGCTCCTGCAGAATTGTTTCTCGGTCGTAGACTACCAACAATTTTTGACAATATGAAACCTAATCTTAGGAAAAAGATGGAGATGAAGCTTTGGAAAGAACAAGGGAGGGACAACAAAAAAGTTCGAACTTTTGAAGAGGGAGAAGATGTGTGGATTAAGAATGAACATGGAAATGGTTGGTCAGCTGGAATGGTGAAAAATAAAAATGGACTGTACTCATATGATGTACTTTGTGGAGGTGTTATAAAAAGGAAACATGCGGACCAGATGAGACAAAGAATGGGAGCTGTTGAATCTGTGTAAAAAGAAAGAGGGGAAAAGTGTTAGATAGTTAAATGTATAAGTAATTAATACATCAGCTGATTTATTAATTACTTATACATTTAACTATCTAACACGTAGATCTTTAACAAAGTTAATATTAATCTCATGTCGTAGCCAAAAATATCTTCGTTCTTGGTCCATTTATCCACCCAAGTGTACGCATGTTTCAAAAGCTTTCCCAGAAAGTTATTATTGAAGGCCAATACAGTAGGCCACTTCGTTTTCTCCCCTCGCTGTCTCAGGTATTCGTTGATGATTTGGTCATTTAACCGATCACCAACTTTTGGTATCCGTACGTAGATCGTCCACAGACAACTCCATGTTGATGTTACTTCCTCGGCTGGCTGGACGCGACTGACGCTTCGGGGAGTTGACTCTTGGTATACCTCATTGGTCTTGGAGTTTACCAGACCCCGTTGGAACTTCCTGGACCCCATCGTCTTGAGCTCATGTCACATTCCTACTCATAATGATATATTTGAGCTCCTAATCCAATTTAACCCTTATCCCATTTGGTGCCTCTGAGTAATAAAAACAATAATTAAATAAAACGATTTTGTGAATTTACGAGATGCATTTACGAGATTTATGAGTATTTCTTGCTTATAAATTATTATTAAATTTTAACCTACATTATTTACATTTCCTCATAATATTTATAATTTACATAAGCTAGTTCCAAGTCCTTTACATGCACATTTGCAGTACTCCACAACCACAGTTTAATGACTTCCACAACCACCGGTGAAAATACTCTGGTGTCAAAATAAGGCCCAGAGAACTTTGGGAGGAGTTTTGTGGCAATTACTTTACTAGCATCGGACTGGAGAAACTGCGCCTTCTTATTTTTATGTCGATTGCTTCTTCTTCCTCATCCCCAAGGGTGGGCGGTCCTTTCAGATCATCGTGTTTTTGTAAGATCCCAATTGAGTGCCATTCCACGCTGTGCGATGAGCTACACGAGGAACTTGACGATGAGCTTGTAACCGGTACAGGTTACTTAAAATAGATTTTGCCTTCGGCTAAACAAAGTCAGTTGATGGGGTGTGATTTACGATCCTAACTTACTGGTCTCAAATTGTCTCACAAAATTAAAATAAATACTTATGGGTGCCAGTCGATCAAAAGGGGTCGACCCCTTGTGATTTCTTAGAAAAGTTACAAGTCAAAATTTACCTTTAACGGAACTTAGGCCTAGAGATAAAAACAAATGAAATAGACAAAGTGACAGAAAGAACAATTTATTTAAAATAAAATCAAGTGACTCTTTATCAAACAAAATGTTACTGAAACCTTTGGATAAAAAAAACAATCCGTTAGGCCTATAAGTTAAGGAATAAATCTTAAAAAACTTATAAGAAGAAAAATTGCAATGTTACATTATTTTTCAAGTTAAGTTCAAGTTCTAAGTTAAAATAAATCAGCACAAGTTTCTTGATATTTGACTAAAATCAAGTCAAATAAATCAACAACAATTAATAAAAGCAAGTATTAAAATGACAAGTTATAACCTACAAAATTTGCAAATCTTCAGTTTATCAACAAGGTTTCAAATATGAATTCAGACAATAATTAAATCTAACAACTTAGTTTAACATAATGATTTATACACAATATTCAAAATCAGACTTCAAAAGCAGTCTTAAACGGTATTTCAAGTTCTAAAATCAATAAGTTTAAATATCAGCAAGTTTTAAGTTAAATATCAACAAGATCTAAAATGAATAATAGGCACTGATTTAATTATTTAAGGCACAAATCAAAATGGGTTACTTTACTTTACTTGAGTAATTTCTCAAAACAGATTTAATTTCAGGTTAGGCTAGGCCTAACTGTTTTTATAAGATCAAAAATAGTTTCAAATTTGGTTGGCCAAATGGCACAGACAATCAAAAGAATTCTAATAAAATAAAATACACTACTTCAGCTCAAGACAATGGCCTATTACTAGAATTCTTGAATCCAAAGAATTAAAAAATATTTCCACTGCAGGTGGGTAGTGTCTGATGGCACTTGGTAGTCCTTCCGAGGTTCACACAACGTCGGTCGACGGTTTTACAAAAATATCAAAATGTTCATTGATTTGATTTGTCATGAATTTGGGATCGAGAGCTCTCTTTTAAGTTAATTTTTATGAACTTTAAATTCTTCACTAGGCCTAGACTAAATAAGTTATCAAAGAAGAATCTGAAATTTGGACAGAATACCAGTTAAGTAGGGCACTTCCCTTTAGTAGACGAGGCGAAGAACGAAGGTGTCATGGCTTTGAAGCTGAGCACCCATGTAAAGTGTCGTTATCGGGGCCCCATGGAACATTGGCGCAGCGACAAAACAAGGTGGGAGTAGACAGCACCATCAACAGATCAGCGTACATCGGGGTGGAAAACCCCACAATTAGTAGGTCAGATAGTTGAGTTCTGTTTTCATGGAGCTGATTATTGAAAAGAAGGCTTCCTCGGGAACTTGCCGAGATAAAGCATTGACCAGGTTATCCAACGTAATAGAAACAAATAACTGAACTTTTGTTCTGTTGCATGTATGAAAGTGTCAGCATACTCTCTGACTTCCAAACGTTACAAGCTGCTCGTGGTTGAAACGTCAGACTCGTAACCATTTCTCTTAGCCTTTTTACTTGGAACAAGGTCTTGCCTCTTCGGTGGCCTGTGTTCAACTACCGTTTTGGGTGTTGCGTTGCGTCCGCTGATTGTATTCTCTTCCTTTGGTCCTGAGTTGTAGCATTTGAATTGCTTGTCTTCTCTAAAACAACATCGGCAAAGGCCTGCGTGAAATATTCTGTCTCTCCTTTTTCATCGGTGGTGGCTTTACTCCGTGTATTTCGGTAGGTTGTTTTTGGCGCGAAAGTAACTTTTCCTCTTTAAATTCCTTCACCATTGTCATTCTTAGCCATGGAACGTCCTTTTGTGTAAAGGCTGCAGATCTGTCTGCCGCTTAAGCTTCAACATTTATGCAGAGAAAGACTACACAGTCCATTTTTCCCCAGTTTTAGTCCTAATTTTCCTTTCATTACCCATTTCCTTGACTGTAGGATTTTTTCTTTTCATGCAGTGCCTCTGCTCGTAGGTACTCAATCACTTTATCGCCTATGGCGCTTTGGCCTCCATGTAGACTGTCGTGGATTAAAATTTCTTTTGTTCTGAAGTCCACGACAACCAATACCCCGTACCGCAGATTTTCAACAAAGTAAGGTATTAAACTCATGTCGTAGTCAATAATATCTTCGTTCTTGGTCCATCTCTCCACCCAAGTGTTTCACATGGGTTCCAAAAGCTTACCTAGAAAGTTACTATTGAAGGCCAATACAGTAGGCCACTTCGTTTTTCCCCGTCGCTGCTGCAATAGTCTCAGGTATTCGCTGATGATTTGGTCATTTAACCGATCACCATCAATAGTATCCGTTGGCTGGACACGACTGATGCTTCGGGGAGTTGACTCTTGGTATATCTTTTTGGTCTTGGGTTTTCCCAGACCCCGTTGGAACTTCCTGGTCCCCATCGTCTTGAGCTCGGGTCACTGGTCTATTTGAGCGTTCCTAATCTGATTTAACCCTTCACATTTGGTGCCTCTGACTAATTTGTTAAAAAATAAATAAAAATGTTTCGTGTACTTACTTCATGCAACTATTTATTGCTCAGAAATCTGTATTACATTTTAACTTAAATTATTTACATTTTCCAAGTAATGTTCCTAATTTACATCAGCTAGTTAAAAGTCCTTTACATGCACATTTGCAGGCCTCCCTTGTCTAATCACTTACACAACCACCGGTGAAATTACTCTTGTTACGAAATAAGGCCCAGAGACCTTTTGGACGAGTTTTGTGGTAATTCCCTTACTAGCATCGGATAAATGGCTCTTCTTACAGTATAATTTATCCCCTACCTTAAAGGAGTAGGTTCTTCTTCACAAGTTATAGTAATGTCTTTGATTAGCGTTCTTTTTACCTCCGGATCTACAGTCTAGTTTTGGGATAACTCCAACATAGCAGGGGTTCTGAGCTCTCTGCCGTAGTTAAGAAATGCATGACTTTCCCGATATTATAATAGACTTTTTATATTTATGATTCCCTAAGTATTTTTCAACCTATAAAATTGTATTGGTTTCTATAGGCTATTTGGAATCTTTTTATTTTAAATTAACTTAAAAAGCAATTTAAAATTTTACATTACCAATGAAAATATAATTAGTTATTTTTCCAAAGAAAATCATTGCTTTTGCCAGTTCCTCGTTCTCATACAAAGTAACTGTAAGGTATTGTATCACACAATACAGTTTAGTTGAGATGTCCTGGTGATGATGTGACGTCACTTGAAGTGTTTGCCTTGTTAACCCGACGAGCTGGGCTTGTTACCGGTAACTGTTGACACACAATACAGTTTAGTTGAGATGTCCTGGTGGTGATGTGACGTCACTTGAAGTGTTTGCCTTGTTAACCCGACGAGCTGGGCTTGTTACCGGTAACTGTTGACACACAATACAGTTTAGTTGAGATGTCCTGGTGGTGATGTGACGTCACTTGAAGTGTTTGCCTTGTTAACCCGACGAGCCTGGCTTGTTACCGGTAACTGTTGACACACAATACAGTTTAGTTGAGATGTCCTGGTGATGATGTGACGTCACTTGAAGGGTTTGCCTTGTTAACCCGACGAGCCTGGCTTGTTACCGGTAACTGTTGACACACAATACAGTTTAGTTGAGATGTCCTGGTGGTGATGTGACGTCACTTGAAGTGTTTGCCTTGTTAACCCGACGAGCCTGGCTTGTTACCGGTAACTGTTGACACACAATACAGTTTAGTTGAGATGTCCTGGTGGTGATGTGACGTCACTTGAAGTGTTTGCCTTGTTAACCTGACGAGCCTGGCTTGTTACCGGTAACTGTTGACACACAATACAGTTTAGTTGAGATGTCCTGGTGATGATGTGACGTCACTTGAAGTGTTTGCCTTGTTAACCCGACGA